CCCTCCCTCCCTCCTCTCTCTCTCTCTCTCTCTCTCTCTCTCTCTCTCTCTCTCTTCCCCCTAGTGTGTAAAAGAAATGAGGGAGAAAAAAAAAAGTAAAAAAAAGCCTCAAGCATTTCATCATCTCCCCTCACTACTCTACCTCTCGCTCACCCTCCCTTCTTCTCGGGTTTCTTGTTTATATTTTTCTCTCCCGTCGCTTATTTCTCTATCCCTTCTCTCTCTCTATTCTCCCAGCCCCATGCTTCACCGTTGCATCTTTTCTTTTTGCACCTTTCCTTACTTTGCCCCTATCACATACCTCTTTTCTCAGCCCCCTAGTAACCCCTACTCTACCCCTTCCCCTCCTCTACCTCTCCTCCAAGTTCCCTTCCTTCTTGCCCCCACTCCTGGATACAGGCCTTCGACCATTCTTCGCTCTCTTTCCCTCCTCCTTTACTCTTTCCCACCCCTGTACTCTGAGCACCCATTTTGTGGGCTGCCATTTTTACCACACTTTGTGGTTTTGTACACTTTCTCTCCATTCAAACCAGTTTCAAAAAAAAAAAAATCATCTCAATCAGTGACCCATAATCTTCATTTTTTAGCGATCCAAATTCTGTGATTAATCTAGAAATTGGGTGACAGAAACACATGAAAAGTATTACCTCATGGTTTCAAATTATTTTAAACACAGAAAAGCAAAGTGGGGGAACTTACACTCGAATGTCTGGGCACTGGAAACCACTCTTTCCAAGATAATGCTCTGCCAATTCGTCCGGTATCTGCAATACACCAAAAAAAAACCATGATTTCAGAGGGATGAATGCAAAATAATCTAGGTTTCAGAGAGAGAGCCAGAGAGAAAGAGGGAGAGAGATTACAGAAATGAAATAATGAGAGAGATTACAGAAATGAATTAATGAGAGAGATTAAAGAAATGAAATGAAATAATAGAGAGAGACGTTTTTAAGTGAGATAGAAAATGAAATTGAGGTTAGAACAGAGGGAGAGAGAGATACAGTGGGGGTGTAATCCATGAGGGAGGAGAGGAATTCAATGAGAGCTGCCTCATCGTCGTGCTTTGGATCCGCAGAATTCATAACTCTGATAACAAATAACAAAACAGAGCTTGCGTTTTTATATGGGCCCAACCCAACCCAAGCTCCAACTATTTATATGTTTATTTACTAATGATGATGCATGCCAAATCCTTCGCCATCTACCAGGGTTTCTGGTTTAGAGAGAGAAATATTTAGTGGAAAAAGTTTATAGAGAGCCGAGCCTACCTCAAAAGTTAGTTTTGATGCTGAAATATCATCAAAGTGATCATCTCGGTATCAAGATCAATAAACAACATCAATAATGAAAAAAAATTGGATTTCAAGTTTTTAAAAATAGCGTATTTTTTAAAGCTTTTTTTGGACAATCAATATTCAAGATTTTTTAAATTCTCATAGATGTGTCGATCAATACTATTTTTAAAGCTTTAAATTTTATAAATAAAAATAAAATATATTTTGAAGCTATCACAAAGATTTATAGTATTGAAATTATATTTCCTAATACTATTTGAAGGTAAGCTCTAATTTTATAGTTTAGAGCTTAGGCTTTATATACTGCATCCGTATTTATTTATCTATCGATCTACCTTACATATAGGAAAAGTTTATATAGAGCCGAGGCTCTAAAGAATCAAATTAGACCCTACCTCACAAATTTCACTAGAAGAGATTGTTTTGATGCTGAAATTTCTTCAAATTGATCATCTCGACATCAAGATGCATGGACATGATAAAAAATGGATTTCAAGTTTTGAAAAATATGCATTTTGGAATGCATTTTTGGACTATCAATTTTCGAGATTTTTAAGTTTTCATAGATATGTCGATCCACACTATTTTTACATATTTAAAACTTTATAAATAAATATGAAAGTAATATATTATAAGACTATCATAAAGATTTCAAGTATTGAAACCACATTTCTCGACACTATTTGAAGGTAGGTTTGAATTTGATTGTTGAGAGCCTATGCTCTATACAAATTGCACTTTTTATATAATTTGTATAGAGTTAGGCTCTAAATATTCAAAATAAAGTGGCACCTTGAAATTGTGTGAAGAGATGTGGTTTCAATACTCGAAATCTTTGTTAGAGAAAAGTTTATATAGAGCCGAGGCTCTAAACAATCAAATTCGAGTCTACTTCAAAATTTTCATTAGATGTTTAAATATCCTTAAATTGATCATCTCAACATCAAGATGCATGGATATAAGAAAAAAATGCATTTCAAGTTTTGGAAATAGTATATTTTGTAACGCATTTTTTTACCATCAATTTTAATGGTTTTCAAGTTTTCATAGATCTTTCGATTTATATTATTGTTTAAGCTTTAAACTTTATAAATAAATATGAAAATATATTTTAATTCTATCAAAAAGATTTTCATAATTGAAACCACATTTCTCGATACTATTTGAATGTAGGCTCTAATTTGATTGTTTAGATCCCTAGGCTCCATACAAACCGCACCCTTTTTGTTATAGCTTTAAAATATACTTTTGTCTTTAATTATAAATTTTAAAACTTAAAAAATAGTATAGATGGAGCTGATCTTTGAAAACTTGAAAATTGATGGTCAAAAAATGTGTCACGAGATGCACTATTTCCAAAACTTGAAATACATTTTTTTTTTCACAGCCATGCATCTTAATGTTGAGATATGATCAATTTGAGGTTATTTGTGCATCAAAACAACCTCTTTTAGTGAAAATTTTTAGGTGGGCTCTAATTTGATTGTTTAGAGCCTAAGCTCTATATAAACTTTTTCCTTTATGTATATATTGTTGTGGTTTGAGGCTCTAACAATTATGTGTGGAGAGATGTGGTTTCAATATTGGAAATCTTTGTAATAGCTTTAAAATATATTTTTATTTTTAATTATAAAATTCAAAGATTCAAAAATAATGTAGATCAAGCAAATCTATGAAAACTTGAAAATTGACTGGCCAAAAATATGTTACAAGATGCACTATTTCCATAACTTGATATCCATTTTTTTCTCATGTACACGCATCTTGATATCGAGATGATCAATTTGAAGATAATTGAGCATAAAAACAACCTCTTCTATTGAAATTTTTGAGGTGGACTCTAATTTGATTGTTTAGAGCCTCGGCTCAATATAATTTTTTTCTTTTCACTTTATTAATAACTCTCTTCTCTCTCCCCCAATCTCTCTCATGCCCATGTATTTAAGTCCCATGTATTTAAATCTCTCTGCCACTATGAATAATCTCTCTCTCCACTCTTCTTTCTTAACAACAATTCTCCCTCGCTCCATTTTTGTAATTATAACTCCCCCGTCTCTCTTCTTCTCTCTCCTCCCCAAACTCTCACCCATCTCCTCCCCGTATTAATCTCTCTAATCACTTTTTTTCTCTAATCAGTCTCTCTCTTTATTTCTTATTAATAAATCCTTTCTCTCTTTTTTCCAAGTCTCTCTTCCCAATATTAATCTCTCTCCTCTCTTCTTTTTTAATAAATATCTCTTCTCTCTCCTCTCCATTATAAATCTCCTTCTCTCGTTAATAATCTTCTCTCTCTTCACAATATTAATCTCTCTCCTCTCTTCTTTCCTAATAATTCTCTCTTCTCTCTCCTCCCTAATAACAATCTCTCCTCTTGTTTTCCTAATAATTCTCACTCTACTTTCTAATAATAACTCCTCCCCATATCTCCCTCTTCTCTCTCCTCCCCATATCTCCATCTTCTCTCTCCTCCCCATATCGATCTATCTCTCTGCGTCTTTTCCTTAGACTTAACCCTAAAAAAGGAATTCCCAGGATGACCGGGGTCAATTCAAAGAGCGAGAAGGGCAATCTGTCTCCTTTCCTTACATAACCCCGTCTCTCTCGGACTAACTACTCTAACAAGGCAAGGTAAAAAACACAGAGGAACCTCCATTGCTACCATATATTGAATTCACATATTGCTCATACACTGCTAAGGCTGGTTCGTTACGTGAGAAACCAGCCATGGCTAGGAATGTGTGGATTGTGGTGGTGGTGGCGGTCGCCGTAGGGTTTGCTGCTTCGAGCCATTGTGCAGGCCCCGAATCGGATGCGAATTCGGGATCATATCCGAATGCGGTTGACAGTGGCACAACTAGCTATGACAGAGACTCTGAATGCATTTTGTCTTTGCTACCATGCAAGGCCTTCCTGAACACAACGGAGCCTCCGTCATCGGCGTGCTGCATTCCTTTGAAGAAGAGCATTGAAACCAATGCCGTTTGCCTCTGCCACCTTATCCACAATACTCCCCTTTTCATCTCCATCAATGGTAACCAGACTATGGCCCTGGAGATGCCTAAGCGTTGCCGCCTCATCGACGATGTCTCCTTGTGCGATAAGAGTAATACAATTTTACTATTCCTCTATCTCCATTTTCTTATTTAGAAATTAAATTCCTAATATATGTCTCAGTTTTCGATTGCATGAACTGGCTGCCGAAACCGGCCATCGGCTTGGGTCCAGGTAACCCGCAACTCGTCTGGGCAACCAGTCCGACTCGGGTTAGGCAAAAAATTGTGTCAAAAACTTAAAAAAAAAAAAAAATCCAAAATATCCAAAAAAATAAATAAAAAATTGTCTAAATGAGGCTTAAGAAAAGTATAAATATTAAATTTTGAAAAATCAATTTACAATCGGGGGTATTTTGAAATAATCTTAAAAAAAAAAAATTTAAAAATAAGTGTTTATGGCCAAAATACTTTAATCTTTACCAAAATGATACAACACATGGAAACAAATGTTAGAAATAGATTTCTTAGTTTTTTGAATTATATTTTTTAAAATCTTTTGTTAAAATCCCCGAGTTGGACACGTAATGCTCAGGGTGGATATCCACGTGAACAATAATTACAAAAAAAATAACAAAAAAATAAACACTAATTACATGGCGATCACGAACAGTACAATGTTAGAATGATGAAATTAGAAAACCAAATTCCAAAGTTTTACCACCATTAATTTCCCTCATAATTTATTGTTTCATTTGTAAAGGGAAGGTTATTGGAGGTCATTTTCTAAAGGGACTTGCTAGTCGAACAATATATATAGATATGAGTATTAGGTGTATTTTAGTGAATATCCACATAATTGAATATCCACATAAAAAAATTCTAAACAAAATGAAAAAAACAATACAATGTTATAATGACGAAATTAGATGACCAAATTCTAGAGTTTTATCGCCATTAATTGCCGTTATAATTTAATGTTTCATTTCCAAAGGGAAGGTTATTGGAGGTCATTTTCTAACATCATGCAATATAAATATTGATGGGTTGGAATAGATAGGGACATATTGTAGAAATGGGGGTTTGGCAATAAATATGTTTTTTAAATATAATTTGATCTTACTTTTTAGAGAATATATAATCTTTAACATGGAGATCATGAATATGAATAAATAAATAAATTTTGTAAAATATAAATAATAATTATATTAAGAAAACATTTGGACCGTTAGTTACAATTGTTTTTAGATGGATCACCTATTTGCATCCATCTTTAAGATAAATGCTTTATACCTCTAGAACGCAAATTGCAGCTATGCGGTCCAGCCCGCATGTAACAATTGTTCGATAAATAATCCTAGGAGTTCTTTCTACTATTGTTTTACCTCTTGGCTATATTTATGCTATGAGAACTTTATGGGGCGATATTACGTAGATGTAGAATGGAGTCTCATTATTGCCTGTAGAAGGGCTCACCCAAATCAACCCTCTCTTTTTTGGACTTTTTTTTTTTTTTGGGTAGATTGGTGGGATTATAGGCCCCTACCCCATTTAGCAAGAGTTAGACTTTTTTTTTTTGAAGTATTTGTGAGAATGGAGGCCGTAACTTTTAATTAGGGCTCAGATGGTATTACCACCAAAAAGCCCCGGCCCTATTCTCAATGATAGGGAGAACGGAACATGTAATCCCTTGTTAATTTGCATGGTGAGATAGTAGTAAGCCACTTCAGTGCATTTTTCCTTTTTGGGATTCTTAGCTTAAAGTGCTTCCTCTTTTCATTCATGGTTTCTTGTTTCAAGGTATCATGAGCTTTGTAGCTCCTCCTGGACCTGCATGGGCGGGACCAGCACTGGGTTACAACCCTTTATCCTAATTCCTTTTGGGGATGAGTTGGGGGTATGTTTCGTGCATTATATGCATATATTTTGCACTCAATCTTAGATTTCTGTTGATTTTTCAGTTCCAAAAAATGTCTGTTTTATTTAGGGAAATATGAAACTATGAATTATCTGCTTGTGTATGGCAAATAAGAAGGCATCCACCATACATTTTCCAGATGGATGGTGGACACTAAGATGCGCATCATTAGGAACATAATTTGGATGTACAGGTTCAACACGAAATGATTTTCCATTTTATCTCTCGTGTTGAGCTTGTTTTCTTTCTAAGGACTGCACATGTTTTCCTCATTTTTGTTTATGTGAATGTCTTGCGGTGAGATGGTTTCCAACTTGGACAATCGTTCATAAAGTTTGGATAGTTTTTTTCTTTTTTTTGGGATTGTTAAAGTGGTTGAAATCGAACTTGAGATGTAGTACTACTAATTGTAAATGGCTAATCACTCAAGCCCAAGCTCAATCCTAGTAAGACCCTCAAGATTCACTTGTTAACTTTCACTCATTTGAAATTTGATGCCATCAGCTCAGACAAAACAAGTACACATCATTCGAGTTGGACAAGTTTCAAATTTGACCCTCCTTCAAAACCTAAAGTTGATTAAAAAACAATACCAATATCTCATAGGGTGTTTATAGTCAGATATCAGTGCTATAAAATAACAATATCTTGTAAAATCCTAACACCCATATTCGCATTCAAACATAAAATTCTTTCACAAGGTGACTTGGTGAGATATTAGTCTTCAAAACTACTACCAGTATTACAGTAATCTACATATTTAGATATTGTAATCTTTAAAAGTACAATTGTGGTGTTTAGAGTGAAATATTAATATTCATTTGAAAAACATCAATGTTTGGGTTGTAAAACCAGTCAAGTCAACACAGAGACCAGCAATGATGGGCTAAATCAGTGTTTCAAATAACGTTAGGCGGTACATAGGCGGTCAGGGGTCTAGGCCGCCCTGCACCTAGGTAGGCACCCAGAACCTCGACAGCCCAATAGATATTTTTTTGTTTGGTTTTCTCTCTCTAAAATAGCCTCTCTAATGGATTTTAAGTTTCAAATGAACTTAAGCCTACAATTTTGTCTCTTTAGTATCAAAAAAATGACTCAAAAATACCCTCAAGGAAACGCATTTCTGCCCCTGGGCAGCTGCCTAGGCAGATATCCCTGGGCGGCCTAGTTTGGCGGTCTAGGCCTGCGCAATGTGCCCAAGCCTTCTGGACCGCCTAGGCACTAGGCGGTCCCCTTTTTAAAAGTATGGACCAAATTCAAGTCTAGATGTGGATCCTAACCCTAGACCGAATAGGTCAAGTCCAACTCCTATCCAACAAACATAGATCCAACTAACTCCGGCCCAAACCTATCCTGATCGGCTCCAAGCCGTATCTAGTAGCCTCTAGCACTCTCACAAACAATGGGTATGGGACTTTGTTTTTTTAATATTACATTTCTGTATTTTATTTTATTTTTTGGTTCGGCTAGAGCAGATGCATATGTCTCCAAAATTTTAGATCAATCAGAATTTAAGAAATTAAAAATAAAATATTGCTTGTACATGCTAATTGTCAGATCAATTTAAGATTTTGCGGTAATTCGACCTGTAATGTTCTTGTAATGTTCTATTGGGCTGGTGACTCTCAATCCTAGATTTCACACACAAATATATACACGTATGGACGTTTGATTTTTAAATGTTTTTTATTCATTTGAAGGTTTGGGAATGTAGAGGGCGAGGCGAAAACTATTGCACAACAAAGCATAACCAAAATGAAAAGTATATGATCCATATCATGTTGACACTTGCATGGAGCACAAGCACCATCCCAACAACTAAAATTCGGGTGGGAATTTAAAATCGATGACAACGATTATGTATATGTTTTACATTTTTTTTTTTTACAAATTGAATTGACTTGAAATTTGGGCGAATAATAAAAATTACTTTGAGAAAATTAAACTTACCAAAATAGCCTTAAAATATTTTGGGATGTTTTTTTAAAATTGTTTTTAGATCTTTTAGGTACACTTAGATCACACAAGCATGCCAAATTTCATAAAATGTTATTTATAAAAAATTTAAAATTAAAATACAAAATATAATCATGATTGTCCGTTTTCTTCCCTCTTAATATGAATCTTTGGATGATGCTTTTGCAACTTTCGAGCTCGACAAGAAGAACCCTTATCAGAAATTACCCACCTTGTTGGTGAATGCTGTATAGGCCATTTCTAGTCCTTGTGTATTATTTATTTGTTATTATTTTGGTGTACTTAAGTTACGCACTTGGACTTGAAAAATTTTAGGTCCATCAATTTTTTTAACTATTCAACAATCAAATAGTGAGCCAATGCACTAGCCATCATACCAGTCCAAGCTCAATATAGGCAGTTCGAAAGATATTATTCTTGTATAAAGTGCCTGACAACAGTTGTTTGTTCC